TCGTGTCAAACTGAAAAGAATTTCTAGTTTTATGAAGAATCTCTTACAAATGTAAATGTCTCTTCTCTTAAGTGGCGCGAACGCAAATTTATTTACGTGTCCCGCTAAAGTGACGCGGCGACGCCTTCGCAAAAGTCCGCCTCGGTAGATTTTTCGCGTTGCGGTAAACGAACGAGAGCAAAGAGATGAGTGGGAAATTTTCGTACTTTATGACTTTAAAGCCGGGTAGGCTTTATTTGCTCCCCGATATAACACACTCGGTGAACTATTTTTAAGCTGCTTATTTACGCAAACTGCTATCGCGCGCGCGCATTTACACACATATACACACAAACACTCTCTCTCTCTCTCTCTCTCTCTCTCTCTCTCTCTCTCTCTCTCTGAATTCTGGAATGAAATTCCCACTTGACATTCATAACGCTATCTCTTTAGGTGTCTTTAAATGTAAATTATGTGACTATTTACTTTGAATTATACGCTGCATGAATTTGTTTTTGGCTTGTTATCATTATTATTATTATTATTATCTTCTTTTTGTTCTGCACTTATACTTACGTATTATTTATTATTTTTTTCATTATTTTCCTATGCTTTTCAATCGTTATTATTATTACTTTATTTTTACTATTTAGTTAATCAAATGAACAGTAAAATTTACTTCATCAATCGTATTTTGTTTAGAGCTTGAGAGGATGCTTTCTTAAGATTTCATAAATAGCGATATCTATCTATTTTTCTCTTCCTCTCTCTCTCTCTCTCTCTCTCTCTTGGAATGATTTACCAAAAATCTTCTTGAAGGATTCTCGGTACGACCGTGCATCGTGATTTATTTCCTCGAGCGAAGAGCGTTTAACTAACAAAATGATAAGTAGCCGTCAAATCGTGATTTACGCGGCTCATCGATTTTCCGAAATGTACTATTCGCAGCCGCGAGTCTCGGAACATCTCGATGACAGACGTCAGCGATATTCGCGACAAATTACATGATGACGATCCCACTACTTTCGTTTCTCGATGGACCAAGCGTCGATGTGAAACCGAAAATCCCGGAAAATCGAGTGTCTCGTTTGTCTCTCTCCGATGACTGACGAGCTTCACGGAGGAAATCCATCTATGACGAGAATAGAAAATGAGAGCCGCTGCTCGCGAGATGAGTGCGGCGGCAGTGCGGTCAATGTCAGAGCATGGAGTGCATTCCGGCGATCTAAAAATTCAAGCTCTCGCAGGAGGGACGATCGAAGGTGCGGCCACGTGGTCGATTCGACGACCGCGAGATATAACTCTCGTTCACCTCGCTCTCTTCGGTCCCACTACAGCTTTTCTAAAATTACGCGAATTCCGCGTGTTACGCCGAGGACCGAGGGCACGCTAATCGGCGACTCAATCTATTTGGCGATTAACGTGGCGAAAAACGTCACTTACCCCGTGCGGCTGCCTGACGAAGCCCCGGTGGTTATTTCGGTCGTCAGCCATTGCACCTTGTCCTGAAACCGACCAATACAGCGGAATTAGACCAAGATATTATCGCAATAATAAGTTTGACAAAAAAAAAATAAAATCAATTTAAGCTTCATGGATAGATGAATTTGATAAATTGTTGATCCTGTTTTCAAAGCTATCAAGTTACGGTTGATTTAACTGAATTTTTCGAGCGAATTAACGGTTCACATATAAATGAAGAATGTACAAAATTTTCTGCTTTAAGGCTTTTCTAGGTGATTGCGATTTGCGCGAGGATCGATTAGCAATCGTGATGTACCTCGGTCGATGATTCTCCCCATCAAATCGCGAATGGCCGACTATTCTATCTGATCTCGCACGATCGGGACTCGTCGTTCATTCTTGAACGACATCTTGGCATCCGCAGAATTAACGTCATTAAGCGAATTGACGTGGTTTTATGCGAGAAACGAAAGGCATCGCGAGCGCTGGCGTACGCACGCACGCACGCACGCACGCACGCACGCATATTGGAAAACGTTGTCGCAGGCAAACTTGGCTATCGTTGCGGTTGATCGGTGACGTGTCGTAATACAAAATATTAAGGGTGAAATGGGGTGTCGTACGACGGGTCAGCGTGAAATTTTCCCTCGACTGCACGCAAATCGCACGCACACTGAGAAAAAGGTTTTGGTTACACAAGGGAAGTTCCCATGGGAAGTTGCTGAAATTAATCAGCTGTTATTTTTAAGCGCATATATGAGAGAAAAGTGTTTGATATTTGTGACCATAAATGCATGATAAAATAATTAAGGTTTAGGAGCTCCATTTTTGTGATTATTAATACTATAATGTTAGTAATAATAATCTTACATGTATAGTTCTCTCAAATTTATTAACACTTATTAACAATTATAAACTTATAAACAATTATTTTCAGGTCTGTATTTAATTAAATTTGTGTTGAAATACTATTATTTTTGTATATAATCGTAAAAAAATTCTTATATTGTTATATATATAAGAATTTATCAGACTTTAAATTTAAGAAGAATTTTGGCTCGTATGATTGCTACGCAAATTAAACAGTCGTGGCTTATTTCGAGTTAATAAATAGATGACTTTGATAAATTAAGATAAGATATAATAAAATTCAATATGAAATTCGAACTATTATAATTCAAGTCTGTGACAACTGGATTCTCGATTTCAACCGAGGCATTTGGCTAAACTTTTTACTTATTGACTTTATGTGAACAATCTTTAATCAAAGTACCTCTTATAATGTAACGCATCGACTTAACATCTATACTGACATTCGTTTTTATAAATCGACACATCGCCATTGTTACAATAAGTATTCCAAATAGTTATTTTGTTATATCGTTTTGACATTGTAATCACTGAAGAAGGCTTTGTAAGCGTTTGTAGTTCGAATTTTATTACATCCTAATTTATCAAAGTCATTTATTAGCTCGAAATAAGTCAGTAAGACTCTGTTTATAAGTTTCTTCTATAGATATTATAAGATGAAAAATCGTAGAATATCAAGTTTCAGAATTCACATATATGATAAATTCTAGAAAAGATGTAGAATTTCTCTACCGAAAACGATTCCAATTCCTATAAGAAAATCTGAAAAATTTTCTAAAAAATTATAAAATTATACAAAAAAATTTTGAAAAAATGTATGAAGAATTCTAAGAAAAATTTTTACAGGTGAAATATCTGATCTTCTGGTTGAAATTTATCTACTAGATAATTATGCAACCAGATTTTTTTCTGTACAGGAATAACAACGAAACCGAGCGTGCGTATCCGCGCGTTATATGTATAATGTATACGTTACATACGTATATGGTATGTACTAATATACCAATCGAGAGCGATTGTACAGACACTCGGCAGGTAATTACCTACTCCGAAACGCGGTTGACTCTCCTCGCAACGGGTGTTCGCATTTACTTTTTGTTTTATTTTCTTTTTTTACGGCACCGTGAAGAGATCGCGATCGAGCTCGTCGCATGCAGCCACTACTTCGTGCGTCGAGGACTACGAGACGAAGTCCTCGGTTCGCCGCAGCTGCATCGCGCAGCTCGATTGGAAGGAGATCGCGAGAGGCTCTCTCGCAAAAAGCGATCCGTCATTACGGGCTCTCGGGGAGCGGCCTCGTTTGCTCTCCATGCGATTTTTCACGCAATGCTGAATCGCGATCGGGATGAGCGGATCATCGCACGAGAGCCTATCGTCGCGAGCTTATCATAAATTTTGAAGGAAAGAGCGCACTGCACAAATGCATACACATATATGCCGCACCCACCGTGCGATAATTTCGATCGATGCGAACGCACTTATGGAATCGGAAACGGGATATTTCAAGTCGAGTCGAGCGAGCGAAATAGCCAACGAAAATGGAAATTGCGCTTCAACGTTATCCCAGAAGTAAAACTCGAAATACCGAGTTCCTTGCACGCGCGCGTTTCGTACTTACAACTTGACCGCTTGAAAAGCGAATACCACACAAGATCGTGTTTCACGTTGGAATATATATCGGCACGTAAAATATGAAACATCTTGTAAAGTATTGATTTCTGCGGCAGGCCGTCTTGATATTTTTTCATGCGAAAACGACAAGGAAAATCAATTAATATAAAAAAAACTCATACTAAAAAAAAATATATTGTAATAAAATTTAAAAATTTTATAATAAGTTTTGAGTTTTGACAATTTTGTGTGGACCAAGATATTTATTCCACCGAGTCAAATAACTTTTTTACTTCTTACTTATTTTTTTTGGCACCGGTGCAAGCAACGGAGGTATTTCAAATTATTAAATCAGTTTTTATAGCTGCACACAGAAAGAATTTTTTAATACTTTGTTGAAATATTTAAAAATTTAACTAGATACAGATCTGAAAATAATTATGTTGGACCGTCAAAATAATTATATAGGCTTAAGTATAATTATAGTGCTATAAATAGTTTTGAACATTCTGACAACCGACTAATTGAGCGTTCAATAATTATTCAAATTAACTTATTTAAACATATACAATTATTTAAATTAACATATTTAAACATATTCATTTTCAGATCTGTATCTAGCTAAATTTTTAAATATTTCAATAAAGTATTTAAAAATGTTTTCTATGCAGCTATAAAAACAGAATAACTACATAAAACACAGGCGCGTGAGAAACGTGGTGTTGTATCAAATTGATAACAGTTGAAAGCGTAAATGCGCAAAATATTGGCACCTTCCATCCTGCCGTTCGCTCGAAAGCACGATGTTGTTTCGAGTTTGTAATCAGCGATTAATAGCCGCACCACGCACGTGCTTTTGATGCATTCTACGTGCATGTGCGCGTGCATATGTGTGCATGATTCTAACCGCTTCATTTATTATCGCGGGGCGACATTCATCATGAATCGTTTCCGATAAACTGTTCTCAACGCTATCGCATGTCGAAAACAATCGCTTTTCCGAAAATCAAACCAAACCGAATACGCTAAGTCATATCGCTCGCGTTTTCATTTCTTAGAAACTTTAAAATAAACGATCACCGTTTGACGACAACGTAAGATACAGACACACGCACATTGAGAAACAAAATTGTTCATTTGATTAAATTAATTAGTACATCCTTTATTTCCTTCGATGAAGAACAAATTACTTTATACGATTAAATTTCCCTCCGATAATTACAAAAGCCGATAATTACAAAAGCTTTTCACAATAATACTTTGCATAAAATGAAATTGTATACAAATAGTTACAAAGTAAAACGTATTGACAGCATTAGCTAGTAGTAATCTAATTGAAAATAATCTTATTGATTCGATAATAATATTAATAAAACAAATAACATTTCTTGCTTCTCCACTTACTTTTGTGTTAAATAATATTTTGTTTAAATAAGAGTGTGTAATGTAATTTGCTAATATTGTTATTAAATTATAATACACTGGCAACGAAAAAATTAAAAATGTTATGATTATACCAACAAAACATCTACAATAATACATTAGGAGTACAGTGAACGAAGACAGAGAGAATTTTTAGTGGAATTTCTATCTCGACATTTTATAGCTAGAATATTTGATAAACTTAATTATGTAAGCATTTTTGATTTGTACATTAAGGAAAAAAATGATTGCAATTACCACAATTTAACTATAATTTATATTTGTTGCCAATTATACACGTTCTTTTTGATAAAACTATAAACATAATTATTATTGTTAATATTATAGCAGTAATTATAAAAATGAATTCCTAACCCCATAATTATTTTACCATACATTTTATCAGAATTTAATTATAATTTACAATCATTTTTTGTGCCAATGTAAATATTTTTTTGGTAGAACTATGAAATATAATTATTATTGCTAACATTACAGCAGTAATAAAATTGAAAATGTAAAAACGGAGCTCTTAATGTATTTTACCATACAATTATAATCACAAATACTAAACATTTTTCTTTCAGTGTATTTCTAGTTATATTCACCAGGTTTCCAATTTACGCAACCAGATTTTTTTCTCGTGTAATTGTACATATAATAGCAATGTTCTTTAACAGCTGCAGTAAAACTTTTTTTCTCCCTTTCGCCATTTCGCAAATACCTATATACACATCTACTTCATTTTAAGTACGAGTGTACTTTATACTAGTTCAGTTATAAAAAATAGATCTATTGGTGAATTCGATCACTTACACTCAACTGTACTGAATTAGTGTATATTAAAAAGACTAATTTATATAAAATACATGCACTGGCATAGTATAATTAACACTGACAATGAAATTTTATATTATATATATATATATATTCTGTTAAATAACGTACAATATCATCATTAAGTAGTTTAATTATTTAAAATATTTATATACTTTCACATTTAACTTTGCTAACTTCATGTATAGCAACTTTTAGTATGCACTAATCTAAGTAGTGTAAGTAACCGAATTCACTATATTATTTCCAATTAGATTGCTATTAACTAACGTTAGTTATCTAATATATGATTTTTTTCCACGTACAGATTAAGGAAGGTATTCGGACAAGACATACTGATAGTACATTCTAAAGAGTATTTTAACCATGTGGTGTCTATTTAATTCTTATTGTGTAAGTATTAATATTATCTAAATCACAACATGGAATGGCTTTATATCTCCTGGTGTTTGTATCAATACCAATATGGTGTAGATTTACAAATCTCTCATATTTATATCAACACCATGATAGTATGGATTTAAAACTCATGATGTTATTTAAAATCTACAGCATGTTGATGTTAATATAAAATTACAAATCCATACCGCGAGGGCGATATATTTAGAGCGTACAAATCATTTTTCCTAGAAAAAAACTATCCGATTTTTTAAACTTGCAAAATATTAAACGCGCGTCTCTTTCAATAATCAACAAAATCGCCTGCGGAATAAGAGTTGTGTTCCTTGGAAAATTGCCGGAAACCAAGGACTCTTTCTCTCTATATTGTTGACGATGGAAAACGGAGTATGGATCTCGATCTCGACGGCATTTTGGAGCAAGGAGTCACAAGCCGCAATCTTCAATTCGGAGCAAGACGCGCTAAAGCCCATATGTTATACACATTACGAATTGAAGATTACAATTCAGTCAATTAGAACAAAACGGATTAAAAAGTCAAAATTATTTGACTGGTCGAATTCTAATCTTCAATTCGTAATCTCCTCAATCTCCGAGTCTACAATGAGTCGGTAGTTGGTAGCCTCAGAAGTTGGCTGTTGGCCAACTCTACCGATTCACCGATTTCGATCAATCCCGACTCACCGACTATTCTTCGGACTCTCTAACTACAGATTACTGACTCGTTGCAGACCTGAACTAATATGTAACGTAACACGGGCTTAACCCTAGACGCGGAGTAACGTTCGCGAAAACGGAGTACGCCGTTGCATCGCGGCGCACCGGTACGACGGACGCGCGGTGCGACGGTGACGGGGACCGAGAGGACGGGAAAGAACCGTGAAGGATTTAATGCTCCGTGCGGACGGGATCATCGGAAAGCGGGGGGAGAACGAAGAGGGCCCTGAGGCGCGAGAAGAGAAGAGAAGAGAATTGTGTGCGAGGGGCCGCTCATAGCGCTCACTCAGGCCAGGCTTCCTTTCTGCGTGTAACGTACCTTACGTACCTCGCGCAGAGTATATCACGCGCTAATCGCAGTTGTTCGCAGCGCCTCCGCTGGCCCACGAAGACGCGGGGCGCCTCTTCTCATCCGCGTCCGACGACGTTGCGTTGAGAGACTGACGACGTAGCCTCGCGCGACCGGAGAAACGTCCGACAGCGTTCAACGACGCATCGGCGACGGTCCGCCGTTCCGGGATGCATTATAGCGTGGCTTCTTCCTGCTCCTCTTGCCGTTCCGC